ATATATATATATAGATCAGCTAGATCTTTTTTCATATATAATCAGATGTAGCCAAATATAATTATGTATAAAATAAGATCGTGCCAAATTTCGAATTTAATTATATACAGCCAGATCATATATTGCGCCAAATTTCGAATTTAATTATATATGATCTTATATAATTACATAATTACATATATTATTATTGATCTTAAAATATTTTTAATCTTCACGGAAATTAAGTTTATATATTCTTATATCAAGAAATACATCGAAATAAAAGTTTTTTTTGGATGCGATCATTCGATAATATCGATTAATAAAATACGTCGGAAACTTCCTTTTTTGTTACCCTATTAATAAATAATTGTATAATTCATTTCTGCAATTGTTCTACATTTTCAGCAAAAATGGATCTTACGACAAATGACAAAGATTTACAGCTATTAATTCACGAATTAAAAAAGTTTTCGTTGTATTTTACTAATTCATATTATCAAACACGAGTATAGAGTATCATTTCTGCTGGCACCTTGCTAATGATTAAATCAACTGTTTTAAAGATTTTTATTATAGATGTATATGTATGTGTGTGTGTGTATGTGTGTAAATCATAATGATTCAATAGTCCCAAAATTTATTCATCAATAATTCCGATGGTAATTTGTCAACTATATTACTGATGAAAATTGTGAGATTAAATAAAATCGATAAGTAATAAAGTAATGGTATCGATCATTAGCGCAATTCTATGTTGGAAATTGTAAAAAGATATGGCCCAAATTGATCAACGCGATGAATTCTTAACACATGGTGACAAATATATATATATATGTATATATACATACACACGGTCTGCTTCACTATTGTTGCGCGCGATTTGGCACGAGAGAGACACTAATTACTATATTTCTTGATTAAAGTTGACCAATGATATTGTGCAAAATTCGCGCATTCAGGTTCAGGTAATTACGTTTGCACATATAACAATCTGTTATTGATTTTCATAAGTTGCATAATATTAATTTTTATTGCACAGCTGATTTTAGCTCATCATTTTTTATGCATGGATATAAAATGGTATACTATGACAATTAACAGCTGATTAATAAATTGAATACTAATAGCAAATATTAAATTTAATAATCCTATTTTAACGAAATAATTAAATATTTCAATTGTTAAATTAATAAACTATATAAAAATAGATTAAATGATTTTATAATGGTTAAATATTAGTATTAGCAATCAATTTGTCAATATCAGCTGATTGTCATAATGTATATAATATACATAAGAAACAATCAAATGAAATCAAATGTGCAAAAATAAATATCAGATAATTAGTGACAATCAATAATGAATAGTGAATATCAATAGTTAACTTTAAATTATAATTCAAAAATTATCGTGATCTCATTTCATATTAAGATTTTCGATTTTATTTTTTTCCTAATAAAATATTTAAGTATTTAAGTATCTAAATGCATAAATCATGCTTCATGTTGATATATTAATAGTTCTTGAAAAAAAGCATCTTGTAAATCACACGTAACTTCATATAAAGGATACTTGTGCCACTCAGTGTGCAATATTAACTTTTAAAAATCACATATGGATCATTTTGACACTATCAATAGAACAATAGAATGAACAACAATAGAATGTGTAACAATAGAGTGTGTAAGTATAATTAATAAAAAAAGTATTTAAAATTTATTCTTTAAATTTTGTTGTACATGATCATTTTCTACAGATGTCAAGAAATGTATATAAATTTTTGTAGATTTTTTCAAGCACTTTAAGACAGCTAAAATCGTAACAAGACATTTTGACCCATATATGATCAGGAACAGAGCGTAAAAAAATTAACCTACAAGGGTTTATAATTGAAATAATCGTGCATGAAAATTTGTTGAAAATAAAAATTGACTTTTAACCTAATGCCATCCTCTATCATAATGCGAATCTTGTCCTGTTTGGAAGAAGCGCTATGATTAGCCAACGTCGCGAATTTACTCGCGACGAGGTCTTGCAGTGGATCACCATCTCCGTGAAAACCATTCGTGGTAAAGGACCTGCTGCCGGCCGGCAGCTGTCCTTTCTCGACGGTAATAGCAGCGTTGGTGGTGGTGGTAATGGTGACAGGAGTTGCGGAGCAGGAGATGGAAGTGGCGGCGACGGCAGCGTCACCATTCTCCGCACAAATGTCACCGCGCTCCTTCTTAATCCGTTTACCATCGAACGTATTCTCCTCGTCGCATCTCCCGGGTATCTTGCAGGATGTTTTCGTCCGATCATGACTGTCAGTACTCATATCGTAGCCTAAAACTTCCCACTCCCCCACCTCGGTCGTCCAACTCACGTATGCGGAATCACGTATCACCTGCCGGTGCACGACCACAGCGAACTACCATTTTGTTTGTCCGGTTGTCAGCTGGGCTACTCGTTAGCATCCCGGCGCGCCATTGCTCCCACTTTAAAGCCTTTGCGCGAGGAGAGGACTGTCAAACGACTCGCCGAAGCGCGTACGATATACAGCGACACGCGGATCTGTCATAACGGCACTGCGCGCCGCGGCCACATCATTAGAAATGCTCGAGTCGAGGATGCCGACAACCAAGTGCAAACTGGATAGAAGCAACGAATCGACACCCGTTACGATAGAGCCCACGGAATCGTCTACTCGGCTATTCGTGCTCCGTTACTCTCAGTTCGCATATCAGAGTCCTTATTCCATCCCCATAGAATATGTAACTTCATATTCGAACGGATGTATCGGAAGCTACTGAATTTATGTGTCATAGACTACTTTTGTATAGAGGACGCTCCGTTCGATGCGCCAAAGTTTTGGATACTTTTCCTCTGATTGGTCAACATGAAAAAGTTCTAGTTGCAACTATAAGACCATAAGCAAATCGACCAATCACATTCAAACATTTTTTACTACGTTGCCAACATTCTTGACTGTCATTGGTCGATTTATTTACGACCTTAAACAACAGTCATAATGCACAAATAACTAGATGCGATGCGTCTAGCTATTATTGGACTCGGAAGCGGCTATCTTCAGGCATTATATATGCATATACAAATACATATATTCGTACTATACGCATATAAACTTTTTTTCCCGGGTAGTCGTTAGTAATTCGCTTACCGCTATATGACACACAAATAATGAACTATTTATCTCAGATTTAAATTTTAATTATGAGAATTATAAACAATCATATAAGCTTGCAAAGAGTAAGTATATAATAAGTACTTTATAATAAATTATGTTAATCAAGATAATATATAATTTATTTAATTAATTATCCTCGTTTTTCTACTCCTCGCCTCGAAAAATTATATAAAATTATATAT